ATTTGTTCCTAATTGTACTGCGGAACCTAAATTTTGCATTCCTGTGTGTAATTCATTCTGATAGTTTAGGGATAAGAGTACTTTCAATAGCTAATGTTTTCTTGTGTTTATAATTCCAGTTAGTAGGGCTGATGCACTTTCAAAATGAAAGATCTACCTTCCTTCCTTTAAAAATACCCAACTGTGCACCATATTAAGGGAGGAAAACTTCTGGTATTATTGTTCTTTTCCCAAATTTTAATTTCCTCCACAGTATTTCAAAAGCCCCTCTGATCCTAGGGTATCAAGTGCTGCATTTCTCTATTTTTTTCCTGGAAATGAATGAGTTCCCTCACTTGGAAGTGCCATGAATGTTCTCTAAATCTCAACCAAGAAAATATCCCATTTTCAGGTTTAGCCTTAATTTTTAAATACTTTTGCCACAAAATGAATTATCAACAAATGATGTAACAGGTCATACTGCCCAATATTTTTTACCTATTTGTAATATTCTTACCTCCCAGTATTTATTTGGATAGCTTCACTGGGTTTTTTAAAAATTGTTTTACCACTTACCTTTCAAAACTAGCGTTCTTTTCGTACTTATTTTATGTCTCTCTTTAAATACGTCTCCATGTTTACCCTGTCCCTTACATTTTTAGGTCATCTACTTATAGTCAGTTTGCATCATCTTTGTTCTCCTCAGTGCAATATTTCCATTATACTGCAACATAAATAAGCTAATGATCAATACACAAACTCCATGAATCAGGGACATGGCAGAAATAGAGGGAATCCGGATAAAATGCAAACTAAGCGGTTATGTTTTAGTACATCTAAAACTAGCCTCTCACACACTTGTAGATAAAATTTATGTTTAAACAACAGTTTCATCTTCCTCTTCATTACAATTTCTTGTTATTTTATACTCTATATTTTATCTCATCTCAGAAGTATACAGGTGAGCTCACCACACAAAATGAGTAGATCCTCAATTATTCTTATTTTAAACTGTAGAAGCCAGTTTCAGCCTAGTATAGTAGAAAAACATGGATGAGTGTTTAAATGGGATCTTTTCTTTTTGCTTCAAATGGGAAAATGAAAGAAGAATCAGACCACTAGAAATAAGAATCTTCAGAGTCTGCAACTTATTTCATAAAAACCAAAATGTTTGTCAGCATCTAGCATTACAAAGCTAGGAATTGTACGTGGGAAGTTACATTAATGTAGTGGAAAGGCAAGGTATAGGTATAAATATTGTAAAAGGTGCTTTTTAGTTTTTCAAGTAAGGGAGGGTTTACTAAATTGTAACATTGTTCTCTGGTGACATAAACAGAACTACCTGCATTGTAGTTTTACTGTTTCTATTAATTACATATGATGTGATTTTGCTCTCAGTTACACTATTTAGCCTTTCCCTTCTAAGTTTCACTTTCAAATCCAGCCTAGTTGCATACCGACTTCCTGGCAGCTGTTTAGTGTCTTAACATTAAATGAATGCATTTCATTTTAGTGGACAGGTGTTCACAACACAAACGTCACCACCATTTGCCCAGCAGGGGTGCTGCTAAAGGCCAAGTAATGAATAGACATAAAAACTAATCTCCCAAATTTCTCCGGGAAAATTAGCCTTGAGAAGCTTTAAAAGGAATACATGATTAACAAGGTCTTGTCTATGCCTGCCTATTCTGTAGTGTTCCTGTGCAGGAACACTACAGAACTTCATTCTACTAGGCCAGGGGTTGGCAACCTACAGCCTGTGGGCTGGATCCAGCCCATGGATATGGGGCTTTGGCATCTGGTTCTCTCCCAATGCTGCCACGGGAAGAAGTGGCAGTAGCGACTGGGTCCTAACATCTACCTGCTTCTGACCTAAACAAGGTCAGTCCAGCCTGCAGCCTTAAAAGTTTGTCAACTGCTGTACTAAAACAAATCTCATGTTCTTCACCAGGATTAAACTGGTTAAAATTTAAAAAAAATAAAATAAAACGTTACTTGTTTAAGCATTGGGAAAAGCAGAACATTTATGATAAAGATGTCTCTCATACAGTCATAAATAGGAATGACATTTAAATGTACATACATCACCTACCTTTGGCTGTAAAAGCAAATGCTCCCAAGCATGTATCAAACTCTCCACAATTCCTTCTCCAAATAATCCAGCATCTACAGTCTCTGTGACAACCAGGGAAACTCTATGAAAATTGTTATTAAAATAAGTGAAATATAGTTATATATAATTCATATCACTCTTTCGTTTTATGTCATCCCCTCTTTTAAGAGCAAAATTTAAAATACGAGTCCATGGTACAACTTCAAATAACAGTCATTGTTTGCTGAGGTAATATAGAATTAATGGAAAAATATGTTAGTCTGCTGTATGAGTGTTTAAGTTATTGTTGTAAGTTATTCAAGTCATAGAAGGGTTTTCAGATACTGAGCAAGTTCACTATAAATCTTCCCAGTCAATATATAGTGCGGAAGGTATAGTGATAACCTTTAATAGATTTTTTGACTACTTAAATCTTATGCTCCCCAGAAGTATCCCATCTGAAAGTAAGAAAATGGCTCTTAATCAAATGTACCAAAAATTAAAATACTGAATCAAAATAATTTGCCTTCAGGGATTTTGAGTTAGCTTACTTGCTTAATCAACAGACTTTTAAAAAATACATTACATACCCATTTGGTTATTGCCATATTATTAACCAATCCACATCTACTTTGCTAAATCTACTGGTGAGCAAGATAAATAGAACAAACATGTCAAAAACAAATGCCTTGTTGGAGCAAAAAAGATTTTTTTAATTGTACAAGCAAACTTTAAGTCTGGGGAAAAAAAAAAAGATTAAGTTAGCTATACTCCAAATCTCATAAACTCAAAAAAGTGCTCATGACCTCTCTTGAAAACTGCCCAAAACACGTGAATTTACGGAGGTGAAATCATTTCTACAACTAGTTTGAGGTACTTGGCAGCAGAATAGTATAGGACAGAACAGAAAGTTAAGTTTTAATAATATTTCCAAGCCAATTCTCTCTGAACAGTGACGTTAAAACATCCTGTGGATAGCTATCTACAAGAAACGTAAAATGAAAAACAATGTCAAATAATTTACTGAGCCTCTATGCCATAAATCACAAAATATGTGTCTGCTGGATTTTTGGTAGTAGCTGTGTTGGTCTAAGGACACAGGCAAGCAAGGTTTTTTGGGCAGATGTGATATTTTTTTATTAGACCAACTGAGTAGTTGGAAAAAAGTTCTTAACAAGCTTTCAGGCACAGTCACATGAGGCATAGGGAGTCTCTGCTGGTCGGAGACTCCAAGGAATGAGAGAAGCGAAAAATGTACTAGGATGTCAGTGAATATGTAAATAGGTAAAGATAAGCAAGACAAAAGGAAAAGCAGGGAAGGGAAGGGGAAGAGAGCAGGGGGAAAAAAGTCTGAGGGAGATAACAGAGATAAAATACCAGGTGAGAAAGAGGCAGTCTATGAAAAAGGGAATAGTTGGA